GATATTTGGCAGTTGTCACGAATATTTGATGTATTAGGGACACCGACGCCCACATCGTGGCCATCGGCGGTGCTGCTTCCCGATTGGGGAAAGGTGCACTTTGAGCCGAAGCGTCCTCTTCCTCTCCGTGAATTTTTCCCGGATGCCTCTGAATGTGCATTGGATTTATTGCGAAGATTACTTTGCCTGGATCCTCAAAAGCGTTTGACTGCGGCTGGCGGCCTTCGTCACGCCTACTTTAGTGAATACCCAACGTGAAGGTCCATGGATAAAGGGACGCGGGGGCTATATGAGGTGTGCGGGGATGAAAATTGGAATTGCTCATATAAATGCGTGCTTATTTTCCTTGACAATCCTTTTTGGTTGTTGTTGTTGTTGTTATTTTAATGGGTTATTATTATTATTTTGATTATTGTTTAAATTTATTTTTATTTTTTAATTATATTTTTTATTTGTTCTTGTGGATTTTTAACTGTGAAGCCCAAGTTTTTGTCCAAAGTAAAAGAAAACTAACGCGTGTGCGAGAGAGAGAGAAAGAGGGTGACGAGCACATATCCAACATAATAATGTATCGTTGCTTCCATCATTTCTCCACGTTGCCACTGGCGTTTGTACGACGGACTGCTACAAACAGTTACGTCAATCGCCATATTGGACCATCAGCGGCAGAATCAATTTCTATGCTTCGAATAATTGGCAAAGAAAGTCTGTCGGACCTCATGACTGCTGTGATCCCGGAGAATATTTTGCGAAGTCCTTTAAAAGAGGCTCCGGCGATGAGCGAGCAGGATGCCGTTTCGCTTCTCCATTCACTGGGTTCACGGAATAAGGTATTAAAGAGCATGATTGGGCAAGGATACTATGAGCCAGGGCACACCACCTGTAATACTTCGTAACGTTGTCGAGAATCCTGCATGGCACACCCCATACACTCCTTTCCAGGCTGAAATATCTCAAGGCCGTCTAAAGTCCCTGTTGAATTTTCAGTCCATGATTATAGACTTGACAGCTATGAATTTGGCAAATGCATCTCTTCTTGATCAGGCTGCTGCATGTGCTGAGGCAATGTGCCTTGTCTTTCATCATGGTCGAAAGGAGCGTATGACCTTTTTTTTTTTTGTATCGAGGGATGTCTTCCCATCTTGCGTAGAGATGGCAAAAACAAGGGCTGAGCCCCTTAAAATAAAGGCCGTTGTTGGTGATCCAAATTTGATTGATTGGAGCGATTCCTCACTTTGTGGAATTTTGGTACAAACTCCAGATGCCATGTGGATGCTTCATGATTTTACGACACTGTTTGAGAAGGCAAAGCAACACGGTGTCGTCAGTTGTTTTGGGACGGATTTGATGGCTTCTGTTCTTCTCAAACCTCCGGGAGAAATGGGAGCCGATGTTGTTTTGGGATCTGTCCAACGTTTTGGTGCCCCACCAGGGTTTGGGGGCCTCACGCCGCATTTTTTGCTGTCAAGGAGGAATTTAAGCGATTGATTCCGGGTCGCGTCATTGGTATAAAAGTAAAGACTCGACGGGTTGTCCGGCCAAACGCATGGCGCTTCAGACGCGGGAGCAACGTATTAAGAGGGAACGCGCCACACCCAATATTTGTACTTCGCAAGCGCTCCTAGCAAATGGTGCGGCATTTTATGCCATTTATCACGGCTCTGAGGGCTTGAAGGAAATTGCAAGCGAAATGCACAGTAAAGCCAAAATACTTTCTGTTGGTTTAGAGTCTGTAGGACATACAGTGGTCAATGGTACATTTTTTGATACCGTCACCGTAAATTTAAAAGGTATAACGCCTGAAGACTACGTGACATGCTGCGTGGAAAAAGGCATTAATATTTTTGTTGATTATAGTCATGGCACCGTCTCTATATCGGTGGATGAGGCCACTACCGAGGGCCATGTAGTGTCTCTCTTGGAGGCAGCAGGGCTAAAACTTCCTGTGATAAGTGTCCTTTCAAAACTCGCAGAACAAAAGGGAGCAATGCCTTTGCAAATGTTACGAAAATCTGTCTTTCTTGGGCGTTCAATCCTTCAAAAGTACAAAAGTGAGAGTGAGCTTATGCGGTAAATTCACCGTCTTCATGGAAACGATTATGGTCTCACGCATGGTTGTGTGCCCTTGGGTTCTTGTACCGTGAAACTTAGTCCAGCTGCCGCCATGTTGTCCTTGTCGTGGTCAGAATTTACCAACCTTCACCCTCTTGCACCGACGGAGCAAACGCGAGGAAATGGTGCGTTGTGTTTGGATCTGGAGCTGAAAATAAGGGATATTACCGCTTTAGATGCCGTGTCGCTTCAGCCAAATAGTGGTGCTCAGGGTGAATATGCTGCTCTTCGTGTGATCGGCTCGTATCATAATTCAAAAAAGGAGAGCCATCGCAATGTTTGCTTGATTCCAGAAAGTGCTCATGGCACAAATTTTGCTTCGGCTCTCTTGGCAGGGACGGTGATTGTAAAGATAAAGTGTTTGGCGGATGGAAGGATTGACATGAAGGATTTGGAAAATTCTTGCCAAAAGCATACAAAAGAATCTCTCGTGCATTATGAAAACGTATCCGAGTACATATGGTTTGTTTGACAGGGAAATCTTGGCCATTACTTCGATGGTGCACTACCATGGAGGGCAATGTTATATTGATGGTGCAAACATGAATGCCATGGTGGGTTACACAGCACCTGGATGTATTGGGGGCGATGTGTGCCAGATTAATCTCCACAAAACGTTTTCATTTCCTCGTGGTGGTGGTGGGCCAGGCATGGGTCCCATTGCTGTTCGTCAGCACCTGGCTTCATTCTTGCCAGATTCTGTTTTTATTCAAAATGTTGGTGGTTCCCAGCCTTTTGGTCAAGTCTCTCAAGCAGCATACGGATCGGCGTCTATTCTTCGAGTTTCTTATTTATTAATGTGGATGCTTGGTTCACGGGGTCTCAAGACATGCACGGAGTATGCGATTTTAAATGCCAACTATTTAAGGAAGCGTCTTGACGGCCACTGCCCAGTTCTCTTTCTAGGGGAAAACGATTTCTGCGCTCACGAGTTTATCATAGATTTAAGGCCATTAAAAAAAACAGCACAAATTGAAGCAGAAGATGTGGCGAAACGACTTATGGATTATGGCCTTCACTCACCTACCCTGGCATTTCCTGTTGCGGGAACACTCATGATTGAAGCCACAGAGTCAGAGTCAAAGCGGGAGTTGGATCGTTTGGCCGATGCACTGATTTCCATTCGTACCGAAATTGCATCCATAGAGGAGGGTGAAGAGAGCACAACGAACAACGTTCTCAAGAATGCCCCGCACACGGCAAAGTGTGTCACATCAGATGATTGGGACAGACCATACACCCGGAGAACTGCTGCATTCCCTTCGAGCCATTCACACACCGAAAAGTTTTGGCCTTCAGTTGGCCGCATCGATGGAATCTATGGGGACAGAAACTTGATGTGCAGTTGTGCATTGACTAATTTTTGTGAGTAAAACTGTTGCGGTGGGAGGCAGTAATTTTTTTAATTTATTTATTGCCAATTTTATATTTTTATTTGTTTCTGCATCCATTTCTTGGGTGATGGAGTGTTTTGGGCCTATTTGTGTCTGGTGTGATAAAACTAAACAGGGGGAGAGGGATATGATTGTGTGTGAGTGTGTGTTTGTCTGTGTGGTCGCAGAATGATTTTATGGTCTTATTCTTTATCTTTTCAAGTGCTCTTCTTTAGGATGTACAATAATTCCAATGCGAAGATGCTTTGCCCTTGCAATCGCCTGGATTTTTCCTGTTTGTTATTCCCTTTGTTAATGCTGTTGTTGATTTGTCAAGGCAAAGCATTACTGCAACCATACAAATGCATGTTTGTGGGATTATTTTTTTTGTCAGGCCAAAGGTGAGGGGAACTCAGGCGTCTGCCTTTTCCCTCACTGTCGTCAAGAATATTTCCGGATACTCATCACGCAAACGTCTCAGATGTAATTTTTTCCTCAGTTTTGAATAATTTCTTGCACTTCGACAAACTCCAGCTTTGAGATAAATGGGGGTTACGATGAGAGGGAAATCGTCTACACACTTTTTTTTTTGGTGTATCTTTTAGTTTTTGTTTTCTCTTGTTGCTGTTAGAAAACATTGAACGAGAGGGTTTGCTGCCCTTTTGTTTTATTTGTCTTCTCTGCCTGACGACCAGTTGTACGCTGAAGTGCTCCTCGGCACCTCAGTTGGGACTGGCGGGTTTGCTCACAGTTGTCATTGTCAATCCCATGCGCCAACTTTCCGTTGCTTTTTTGCATTGACGCAATTATTTTTATTTATTTATTAACTGAAGCCATTCTGTCCGGAGTGTCACTTTGATTGGATTGTGTGGGATTGTCCGCCAACACCATCAAACAAAACAGGCTGAAGAGTTTACTTATTTAAACGTCATCTTTTGCGCACATATTTTCTTACGTTCTGTTGATGTGCACTCAAACAGCGAGGGATCCGGAACTATGCGTGCGTGTAATTCTTTTCTGCCATGTGGACTGCGGGCAACACTGAGGGGCTGCCACTTTGACTCCGCAGGGCTGGCAGGGAAATTCCATGCCTTCTGCTACTGCTGGTGTGTCCTCAAATGTTGTCACTCCATGCGAATAATGTGCTTCATCGAGCGAGGGGGATTGTTGGGTTTGTGTGCACTCTGGTTCTGTTTGCTACTTTGTGCGGGCACGCTAGACTTGAGGGGTGGGAAAATGTAGCGGGGCGATGCATGGCCGCGTCTCGCCCATCGTTCAGAGCACGATGGTGTGGTGCACATTGTGGTGTTGACTCTGCGATGTGACTGCGGTCTCCTGTGCTGCAATGGTGGTGGGTGGAGGAGGGTGCTGAGTTGCATCGGGACGGTGTGATTGTGTTTTCTTTTTATTATTCTTTTTACTTCTCCCTCTGCGAGGGTGCACACTCATTACTAGTGTTAGTGATAGGGCAAACAAACAGACAACGTGAATAAAACAAAATAAAAAAGGACGATAATGTGGCGGTGTTGTGGCCGATTGCACGTTGCGTTGCTGCGGGGGTGGTGGGCCTTGACTGTTTTGCCGACAGGCGTTGCAGTGCGGCTGCATGGCGCACCGACCATCGAGCCGTGCGAGTGCCACGCCCAACGCCACTGGGACTGCGGGACGAAACAGCCGCGAGTGTCATTTGGAGCCCGCGGCACCTGCTGGCCGCAGTTGGGCGGTGCGAGTGGGATGCTTCATCGCACGGGTGTTGTGATGGCGCCTCGAAGCGGCATCCCCGGCGATGGTTCCGACGCTGCAACTCGCAGAGGAGTGGAGGGAACGCGGCAACCAAAGTGGACCATGAGCAGCAACGTAGAGGACATTCTGCTGGGTGGAGACACGAACACCGACATGAAGCTGAACGATTTTCTTCGGAATTATGTTGGCGGCAGGGCGGCCGTTGATGAAGACCACAATGTGACGATGGAGGTGTTTGTTCAAGAGCCGGATGCTTACGTACAAGACCAGCAGCTTCTTAGAATTATTTTTAATTTAACAGAGTACCAAGAGATGAAAAGAGAGTTGGATGAGATGAAAATTCTATTGGAGGATATTACTAAGCTTCATCACGAGAGTGTGTTTTCGATTGAACAATGGAGGGACTATGAAGGAAAGGATACGGTCACTCCTCTTGCAAGGGGAAAACTAAACGCAGCCCTCACTCAGGTACTGACAGAAGAAAGGAGGAAGGCAGAAGAAAGGCTAATAAGAGCGCAAGAAATGAAATTTACCATTTCCACTACGATCGAAGACGTACTGTTTAAAAGAAAAGTTCGCGTCAATGAAATGAAGTTGAACGACTTTCTTACGATGGAATTGGGCGGCAGGGGCGTTATGGCCACCAATCGGAGTGTTTTGCTGGAGGAGTTTTTCAAGGATCCCAAGAAGTATATCCGTGATAAGGGAGTATTGAACGAAATGCAGATAACCGATGCTTATTTGAGGATGGAGGGGGCTGTAAGGGATGAAATAATCTTCGAAAAAGATCGAAGTAAGCTTCGCAATAAAGGTGCCAAGAATCTACTTGGGTGGTCAAAAGCTGCTGCAAACGTAAAAACAACTGTTCATAACTTCACTAAAGATGCTTTGGATGCAGCCCTTGAGGAGGTGAGGAACCCAACGACGACGAGCGCACCGGAGAAACTGGAGGGATACTACGAGTCTGTGTACAATGCGAGGTGGCATCATGTGGTGGAACTTCCTGACGACAAGGGAATGAGAATGAAGGTGCATGAGGGGAAACCAGAACAGTCATGGACGTACAATGAAGTTGGCGAATTCCTCGAAAAGAATGACGGTGTGCAGAAATCCGGTGCAGCACCTCCCGTGTTGATGGTCCTCACCTCGGACAAGGGATGGCCGTACTCGTGGAATATGATACGGGATCTTCCTAAGGACTTTTTTGTTAACTGTGAGGTGGAACGAGTGTGGCAGATCGTCAAGCGCGATCTAACCAATTGGTTCAGCAATTTTCATTTGACTCTCAATTCTTCACCTTTGCCGCGTGTGTTGATTGGGACGCCCGGGATCGGGAAGTCGGTGGCTGCCGGCTCGTACCTCCTCTACCAGCTGCTGCACTGCGATGTGGAGGAGCTCCAAGTGGTTGTCCACTGTTTTGGTGGACGTGATGTGTACGTGTTTGACAAGACCGCCAAAACCGTGAGAAGATACAGCGATGAGGACATGTGCATCACGGCTTTGAGAAGTTTAAGGGAGCATGGAATGAAAGGGTATATTATTTACGATGTGGCAAAGAAAGGAACGCCACCACTGAGACATTTTGCGCCTACTTCTGGATGGGGCATGATTGTGGTGTCATCCCCAGAGGTAAGCAACTATGATGGATGGGCGACGCAAGTAAAAGCCACGCGAATCATCATGAATTGCCCCGACGAGATGGATGTGGAGGCGATGTGTGCATGGATGAAGCGTGATGAGACTAAAGAGAAACAAGCGGGATACTGGAAAGAGGTCGAAAAACGCATTGAAAAAGTGGGGCCGATTCCACGTTACATCTTTCGTGAGAAAATTTATATTAATCGCAAGGGTGCCGTTAATGATGCTTTGTTAGGGATCAAACCTAATGATGCTGAAAAGTACTTTACCCTGGGAGGAAAGAAAGAATGGTATTCCGAGGATCCGTCTCACAAACTTGTGAAGATTGTCCGGGCAAGAACAGTTGAAGGTGCTGAGGTATTTCTCAACGCACCGATATGTGCTGATATCGGGTTTCGAATTGCGGACCGTTTGGCAAAGAAAATGGCTGCGAAGGATCTTTTGTTGCTAATATTGAGATCGCGTGGTGCCCTTGTTTCCCGAACTCTGGAAAAATTCGGTTTGCGCGCCTTCATGTATGGGGAGTTTGTCAGTGCACTATTAAAGGAACTAAATGAGCTGAGGCCACCAGAACGTGAAGCACAGGATTCGGTGCTGAAAATAAACCATCAAGGGTACCCCACTCGCACCGTTGGATTACCGTCGATGGAAGGCGGTGTCACGAGGATTTCGATGGAGTACAGGGTGCTGTACATACCGGCGGTTGAAAACTTTCCGCTGGTGGACGGCTTTTTCTTTGTTGATTCGCCGCGGAAGACTCTGGTTGGGCTGCGGATGACTACGGCGGGTGGGCACCACACCATAACCAGCACTGTGAGGCAGTTCACTGAGTGCCTGGCGGAATATTTTGAGGGTTGGGAGGAATTATCCCGAGAAATGTCGTGGGAGATGATTTACGTGCAGCACGAAAACAGCACAATGATAACGAAATGGCAGAGATGTGGTCCCGTCGATCCCAATAATTTGAGCGACGCTGAAAAAAAAATTGTGGCGTTCTGGGACGGAAAGGTACACCAATACCAGTTTGTGTTAACAACTGATTTTGTAAATAAAATCTGAGAAAAGTGAATACAGAAATCTTGTAGAAAATGGGATAGGCAAGAAAATTGAAAAAAATAAGTAGTATCAAAGTGCATTTCTTTCTGGTGAAATATATTAGGAAGTATTTTAACGATTTTTATATGTGTGTGCCTACGAGGTCTGGACAGGGAATTCCTTTCTTTTCAGAGAACCGTTGTGATCAGCAGTGCCACACTCACCACACCCTTTTTTGATTTTATTTTATTTTTTCCACCAGAGGCGCATCGTCACTAGAGGCTGTTGCGCACTGTAGGGGCCGGAGAATTTTTCTTTATTTTCATGGGATTTTGTGAAAAGAATGCTTGTGAGGACGGCTGGCTGCCCAAATAAATTCATATCTCGCACAAACGAAGATATCTCTTCACAGCTTTTTTCTTTTCTATCGCACTGTTTTTTGGGAGACCGCGATTGAGGGAGTCAGGGAGCCGGCAGCTGTAAGACGAAATTATTATTTTTTTTATTTTTATTTTTGCTTTCCCACCCACCCAATTTGTGATCCCCACCTTGCAGCGTTTTCTTACGGCTGGAGGAGCCCCAAAGGCCTGCCACTTCGCAGGGGATAAGTGTTTCTAATTCTAACCATCTACAGAAGTCAACGGCAGTGATTAGCAGAATGTGTATGCATAGACACATTGGGGCAAACATTACGGAGAACTCACTACCTCTCCATTTACCGCTTTTTTACCTTTTTTCTTTTTGGGTAATTACAGGATCCGGCCAGCGACCCAGAAGATTTCTTCCTCTGTGAAGCTGTGCAGTTGTTTTTAGTGTTAGGGATAGGGCAAACAAAAAGACAACGTGAATAATAAAAAAAGGGACAATAATGTTGCGGTGTTGTGGCCGATTGCTCGTTGCGTTGCTGCGGGGGCGGCGGCCTTGACTGTTTCACCGACAGGCGTTGCAGTGCGGCTGCATGGCGCACCGACCACCGAGCCGTGCGAGTGCCACGCCCAACGCCGTTGGGACTGCGGGACTAAACAGCCGCCAGTGTCCTTTGGAGCCAGCAGCACCTGTGTTGTCTCCGACGCTAAAGGTCGACATTTGGTGGGGAGTAAAGAGTGACCGCCGTGGACTCTTGACAGTCTGGTGGAAGATCTAATGCTAGACGGAGATACTCTCAGCACCAGCTTGAAGCTTAATATTTTTTTTGGAATTGTATTGGCTCCAGGGCGACCGTTGATGAAAGACTACAATGCGACGGGGGAGATGTTTATTTGGAGACTCGATGCTTACGTAAATGACCAGCAGCTTCTTGAGGGAATTCTTAATTTGACAGACTACCAGATGTACAAACTTCTTCACGAGGGTGTGTTCTTTCTTCTTCAATGGAGGGACTATGAGAGGAGGGATACGATCAATTTCCGGGCAATGCAAAAACTTGATTCAGCTCTTGAAATGCCAGACGGATGCTCGGAGCAGCGAAGAAAATTCACCCTTGTAACTAAGATTGAAGATGTACTTTTTAAACGAAAAGTTTGTGTCATGGACAGAAAGCTGAATGAGCTTCTTAATAGGGGATTTGATGGCAGGGGCTTTGTGGACGCCAATCGGAATGTCTTGCGGGAGGGGTTTTTAAGGACCCCGAGAAGTATATTTGCGATGCGGGAGTATTGGGCGAAATGCAGGCATCCGATCGTTATGTGATGATGGAGATTGCTGTAAGGGATGAAATGGACATGGAAGAGGATGTACACAAGCTTTACAAAAATGGTGTGGACAATCTACTGAAGTGTTTGGTGGCTACTGCGGGGGTAAAGGCAAATGTTCAAGAAATCACTAAAAGGTTTTTGGATGCAGCCGCCGAGGAAGCGAGGAACCCAAAGAAGTCGAGTGCACCGATATACCTGGAGGGATGCTCCGACTCTGTGTACAATGCGATGTGGCATCATGTCATGGAAGTTCCTGGCGGCGAGGGGACGAGAACGGGAATAGGAATGGATGTGAGGGAAAACCACCGCGGTCATGGACGTACAGGGCAGTGGGCAACACTCTCGAAAAGGATGACGGTGTGCAGCAATCCGGTGCACCGCGTCTCAGGCTGATGGTGCTCACCTCGGGCAGGGGATGGCCGTACTCGTGGGAATGGGAGGAGCATAAATCCATTCATGACTGCTACGTGAACTGTGAGGTGGAGCGAGCGTGGCGGATCGTCCTTGAAGATCTAAGCGAATGGTTCAGCACTGACCCTGGGGCCTACTTTGAGCCTAGGCGACGTGTGTTGATTGGGACGCCCGGGATCGGGAAGTCGATGGCTGCCGGCTCGTACCTCCTCTACCAGTTGCTGCACTACGATGTGGAGAAACTCCAATTGGTTGTCCACCGTTTTGGAGATACGACGTACGTGTTTGACAAGACCATCCAGACGGTGACAAAATACGAGGGTAATGAAATCTCCAAGATTGTTTTGTATGATTTGTGGCAGCGTGGAATGAAGGGGTACATTATCTACGATGTGACAAAGCAAGGGACACCGCCAGCGAGTTATTTTGCTTCTTTTCGTGAATGGGTCATGATTGTGGTGTCATCCCCAAGCCTGGACAACTATGATGGATGGGCGACGCAAGTAACAGACACGCGAATCATCATGAATTGCCCCGACGAGATGGATGTGAAGGCGATGTGTGCATGGATGAAGCGCGATGGAGATACAGATGAGCAAAAGAAATATTGGAGGATGGTCAAAGAACGCATGGATGAAGTGGGGCCGCTTCCACGGCATATATTTCATGCGAATGATTTTAAAGCACGATTTGGTGCAGTTGAGGATACCTTGGAAGCGATCAATTCTCGGTATGCTGACGATCGCTTTATACTTCCGGGAGGGGGGCTATGGTATTCTAAGGATCCGTCCCAAAAATTCGTGAGGATTGTCCGAACAAGAGGAGAAGTCGGTGCTGAGAGGTTTCTCAACGCACCGATATGTTATTCCCTTGTGTCTCGATCAGCGAACCGTTTGGCAAAGGCAATGAGTGAGAAAGGCTTTTTGTTGTTTGTATTGGGGGTGAGGAAAACTATTTCGTCCGCATGTGCGGACAGGTTTTGTTTGCGCGCGCTCATCTTTGGGAGGTTTTTCAGTGCAATGGCAGAGGAACTCAAGGAGCTGAGGTCACCAGCACATGATATTCAGGACACTGTGCTGAAAGCAAATCCTGGAGCGCACCCCACCGAAATATGTGAAATACCTGGAGTTGGAAAAATTGATGCGAAACAAAATATAAATTATCGGGTGCTGTACATACCGGTGGTCAGGGACCTTCCGCTGGTGGACGGCTTTTTCTTCATGGAGTCACCGCGGAGGACGCTGGTGGGGCTGCAGATGACTACGGCGGGTGAGCATCGCACGACAACCAGCACCGTGCGGCAGTTCACTGAGTGCCTGGTGGCTTATTTTAATGGTTGGGAGGAATTTGCTCAGGGATTGTCGTGGGAGATTATTTATTTGCAGCACGCAGACAGCACGCCGATGAATGGCTGGCAGAGATGCGATGTCGTCCGCCCGCCGAGTGTGGGAGATGTTGATCGTGGGAGGATTGCGGAGTTCTGGAAAACCACACATCAGTACCAGTTCACGCTGACAGATTGTTTTCTCAGGCGTATGTTGCAATCCCAAAAAATGCCGAAACTTCGTGAAGCAAAAAGCTTAGACGAGAAAATTGAAGAAATGACTGAGGAGGTTAGCGCAGTGCGTTTATGATGGATTATGTTGGGGAGTGTTTTAACGGCTTTTATATTTGTGTGTGTCTGCAGGGTTTGGTCAGGGAATATCTTTTTTTTCAGAGAATCATTGTGGTCAACAGTGTCGCACCACTACATTCTTTTTTATCTTTTATTTTTTTTACTTCTGTGAAGGCTCCGTCGCCCCTGGAGGCCTTTGCGGGATGTGGGGGCCGCACAATTTCTCTTCATTTTTGTGGGAGTTTGTGAGAAGAATGCCTGCGAGGATGGCGGGCCGCCCAAATAAATTCATATCTCGATGCAACGGAGATGTCTCTGCAGGATTTCTTCCTCTTTTATCGTATGGTCTTTTGGAAGACCGCGATTGAGGGAGTCAGGGAGCCGACAGCTGCCAGACGAAATTATTGTTTTTTTTATTTTTATTTTTGCTTTCCCACCCACCCACTTTGTGATCCCCACCTTGTGGCGTTTTTTTCTGGCTGGAGGAGCCCAAAGGCCTGCCACTTCGCAGGGGATAAGTGTTTCTAATTCTAACCATCTGCAGAAGTCAACGGCAGTGATTAGCAGAATGTGTATACATAGACACATTGGGGCAAACATTACGGAGAACTCACTACCTCTCCATTTACCGCTTTTTTACCTCTTTTCTTTTTGGGTAATTTCAGAATCCGGCCAGCTGCCCAGACGATTATTCTAATTTATTTATCGATCTATCTTTCTATGTGTACTTATATATTTCCTGTGAAAGGATTCTTTTCTATAGAAATGCTCTTGCGAGTGCTTGCCAATTTTTTTTGCATTGATTACTTCTTTACATTTTGTTTTATTGTTTTTCATGTCTAACTCTGCAGCTGGGTTTTATTACTGGAAAAGAAAAAGGTTCAAACGGATGGAGACCCCTATGGTGGTGCTGCTTTTTGTTGTTTGCGCCCAATAGGCAAATAAAGAAAGAAAATGTGGCTATTACGACAAGGTGCTGATTGAGGTACTGTTTCTTGCGGTTGTTTTTTGCGGTGGTGATGGGGTAGGTGATTGGGGAAATACTGGGCACAAGGTGTGACCTGAAATCCCGAACTGCGTTTTCAGAATGTCTGGATGGTTGTCGCCCTGAGCCATAACAATTTCCTATATTGAAGAATAGTTATTTTTTATTTTTCTGCCTGCGACGTCTTTATGCTGACCTGAAGTTTCTTTTCTTATTTGCGGGTGTCGATAGGACGGTTTAAAATATGTTTGTTGTTTTTGGGCATGTAGGATGTCTGGTGACTGTGCTTTTTTTGGGGGAGTTTACATGAGGGGAATGGGGATTGAGCAGCGTGGGATATGTGGTGAGTGCCGCAGGCTTGTTGGTCCGCGATTTGGGTGCCCTCCAAAATTCATGACATTTTGGGCTCCTCAACGAACTGTTTTATTCTTTGTGGAATCATGTGCTATTACAAATGACACCCTGGACTGTTATGTTTCGCCATCCTTTTTTTTTTTTTTTTTTACGGGATGTATGAGGGCTTTGCATGCTGCGGCGAGAACCGCATTTGTTACTGTGCCATTGGTCTCTTTTTTTCCTTTTGTTTTCATTCTTAGCCATTTTTTACTTTTGTTGCTTATTTTATTTCTGGTCATGTTGAGACTCCTGCGTGCTCCGTGCCTCCACTTCACTCACCAAATGGAGGTGCATGACCATTGCTTGGGAAGGAGTCTTTTTTTTTGTTCAAATTCACACAGAACCATCATTGGGCACATTTTCTTTTTTACTTCTTTTGTTTTCTTTCAGGAGATGCTCCCTTGGCTTTGCCTCCAACGGGATATGCGCGGAGTTACACGCGCATTTTAAAAACCGAAGCCACGAGCCTTTTTTGGAAAGGATGCTTTATCTTTCTTCCAACATTAAATTTGTTGTCCATGTTGATGCTTTTTTCTTGGAGTGGAGTTCATACTTCGTGACGATCCCGCGTATGGTTTTGGTGTTGGTCCGACCAGGGCGGAATATATCCGCTGCGTCGGGGAAAGGCTTCTGGTGGATCCAACGACACGGTGGCTGGGGGGAAATAATAACGGGACGGACGTTATCCCGTTGATGGTGGTCCCGCTGATGCTCGATCTGATGGACTTTCGGAGGATGATGTGCAACATCAATGTGCCAATCCGGCTGTTGGTTTTGGTGCAGAACGGGCGGGAGGCGATGCTGTCGTTGTGCCTGCAGGAACTCGAGAGGGTCTATGGGTGGTCCGGACGCCTGGTTGTGAGTCGTCATCCGGAAAACATCGGGTACAGCGCTGCCGTGAACATTGGGCTCCGAATTGCACTCTCGCTGCCGCGCGAGGAAGTGCCTTTTGTTTTTGTGACAAACAGCGACGTAAAGTTTTCACCCGATCTTCTTCCCAACCTTCTGCGCGATGTGCATGAAATGACGAGGCATGATGCCGCTCGCATGGATGAGTTGGCGGCGGAGGTGGCGAATGAGCCGAGCGAGTACAGTCCTGTTTTGCGACGGGGCTTGAGGGTGCTGTGCTCCACGGTGAACGATAGCCGATTGTCGACGTCTGCGCTGCTGCCTGACCGCATTTGTTATGCTTCTGTGAAGGAGCGTGAAAAGACGTTTTCGAAGCATTACGGGCACTTCTGCGCGTATTACAAAAGCAGTTGTTTTACATCTGTTATGTTGACACGCCTGGCGATCAGCACGGTGGGATATTTTGACGAGAACTTCTACCCAGCTTACGTGGAGGATGTCGACTACAGCTTGCGTCTCCGTTTGCTTGGATTTCAGGATCGAAATGTCTTCTACGGCAAATTTGTGCATCGCGGCAGCTCGAGTATTCGTCTCTCTAATAAATTGGAGCTACCGGACGCTCTCTGGTACCGTCGCGTCAGGTCTTTGAGTGCGAACGATGCATATGCCAAGATGAAGTGGAACCGTCCACGGGCGTGCAGTGGCGGGTACAAGGAGCCATATGACGGCATGGTCCCCGCATACGTTTGGGTGAAGGATGAGGCACGCATACAGCGCATTCGGGTCTACGGGCATGATGAGGAGCAAGGGGTCCCAAAGGTTGAGTACGACAGGACACTTTTGTACCCTGTGAGGAAGAAAGGAAGATGGACTGGCGCCAGTCGCAATTCTTATGTTTTTATTATTTTATTTTATTTTTCGCTTTAATTATTAAAAGTTTTTTTATTTTTATTTTTTCTTATATTTACACAAATGATATTTAAGCGAGTACGCCATGGGTTTTAAAGAGCACAAGCATATATTTGGCATGACAGGGGGAGGGTGCAGCGTCCAAAGTTGGCCGTGTTGCCGAAGGTAAGAGAGGGCGGCAGCAAGCAGTAAAAGTGAAGATGATGAATGAGGGAGAAATAAAAGGGGAGGGAAACAGAAAACAAGTCAAAAATATTGTGAGCACAACGCTGCTTCTTACCGTGGGCGATCGACACCGCAATTGGCTACTAATTTACTCACTGAGGGTGACACCCGTTTCCGCTGAATATGTTGCGTGCATATCTGTCGGGCTCTTTGTTTATTCTTTTGGTTTGTTTGTCTCCCGCAAATTTATTTTTTCGTGCCGCCTGACCCACTCGTTTATTATTCCCCTCTCTGTTTTTGTGCGTGCACCGAGAGAAGGGCTTGGGGACATGAAATACGCTCCCCCTCTGTGACATGCCACCAAAAACAGGAGGAGAGAAAAAAGAAATAAAAGTGAAGCGGGGAGGGGAACCATCGCCACGCGTCCTTTTCTCCGACAAGACTGCTCGCCATGCCATTGAGGCGCGCCGTGTGCTTCGCGAGGCCCGCTGGACTCGATTGGGGGACCCGTGAATGATGGTGCGTGTGAGTGTGGCGGATGCGTCTCCCAGGCGTCCCTAGAGGACCCTCTGGCCATTAGGACTGCGTGGAATGCGGGATTCCGCGGGGATATTTGGCCGTTTTGTTTTTATTCCTCCATCGGCCTATCCCAAACCTCAACACGGCGGCTGAGCCAACGACTGCGACGGGATCCGTTGCGTATTTCTGAATCTCTCTTGTGTTGCAGCGGGAGGCCTGGTGTGTCCTGCTCGGCAGACACGGTGGACGGGAGCGGGCTGCCTTATCGGGAAAACGATGGTCACGGCGGAGCGTGTTGCGTAAGTCGCAATTTGGCGCGTTTGTGGCGATCCTTGCAGATGATGTGACGGCGCCTCTTTTACTTGCGGGGAGAGGCGATGCTCCACGGTGATGCGCACGTTGCGGGTGGAGGCTTCTCTTGCTGTTGGTTTGTGAATGTTTTTTTCTTTCGCTTTTGCTGAAACACCACAGAGGGCGGTGTCTGCGGACAGCAGAGCATTGCGAGGAGGGGCATCGCACGATTTTTGGCGCGATGAGGCGGCTTTTGTGAATCTACGGTGTTTATTTTCAGGGTTGAGAGACTATTCTTTGTTGGAATGTATTGTGGGAGACCATCTGTGTGTTTGTTTTTCTTAATTAATCCATTGGCATTTGGTGTCTGCCGTGAAACAGATGCTGACGGCCGTTTTATGGCGGCGAGATGCATTTTTATTTATTTTATTGGCGAGTGGGTGAATTGTGTTGCGTTCTGTCATGCGGCTTGTTGCTGACGGCACGTGGCCGCAGGGAGACGTTGTGAGCGCCTCCGACACGAGGGGCGATTGAGCAGTCATCTCCTCCGCTCGCCGGTACACGCTGTTGAGGCGGCGTGATGATAATGAATCGGCTTCTCAGAAAAGCAACAAGAGGACGTTTGCTGTTCCTGCTGCGGTGTTTGAGTGAACTCCCAATCTGTGGGCGGGGTCGCTCTGCGTGCCTTATTTCTTTGAATCTTGATGAGTTTTGCACATGGCCATCCACACGCACATGCACGCAATCCCCCTGTTCGCCCTCCTGTGGGCGGGAGACCGGGATGCAAGGGGAAAATGTGGCCCGTGCCAGCATGTGGTAAAGTCTGTCTTGGGAGGGATTGCAGCTGTGATGTAAGTCCTGGCAGGCAGGAATGGGATGTGAGGGGAGCGGAGGGGCGAGTAACAACGATTCTGTGCGGGGCAATGCGCAGTGAATAGGGCGAAGTGGTATTTATGTTGACTTTTGAAAAACATTTTGTCTTTTTTTTTTGTGGCAATGGAAAGAAACTTTGGGTGATGTGTTGTGGATTATTTGCACATGATTGAGCGCGGCAACACCATTTGCGGAGAAAATGAATGCCATCTGCGTGAGGCTTGTTTTTTGAGCGCGAGATGGTCAGGGAGGTTTTCAACGCCCCGAGAGGCCAGGAGCAAAGAGGCCTGCACTGCTGCAAGCAGATGGATGCACGCTCCTGTTGGTGGCGTTGCTGTGGAGCCCTGAAGTGCCCACAGGGAAGTTGTTTTTTCGCCGCCTCATTATTTTGTTGATTGGTGCTTGCCGCGGACTTTTGAGGCGGGACATGGGATGGACCGAAAGAGCGAGTGTCGTGTGGCGGTGCTGTGAATTGGTGCCGCCCACGTTTGTGCACATATTTCCGTTTGTGTCCGCGTCCTTGCCGCGGCGGTGCACCGGGAGCGTGTGACTGATCACTTTATCACTTGCGGACTGTTTTGGCAGGACTTTGAATGGCGTCGCCGAATAATAAAATTCCGCGTCTATGTCTCTCTCTCTCTCTGTGTATTGGCTTCCGCCGTGACTTGCCGTGTTGTTGTTGCTGCTGTTTTCTGTGTGCAATTGTTTTCCATGCTGTTCCTTCTGTGTTCTCTCGAGTCCTGCACTTTGCATGAGCGCTCTCTTCTGCTCCCCAGTGACGTGTCTGGTGTATTGCCGCTGTTGCTGCTGTACTCTCCACTTCTTGAACACAGACACGCTAGGAAGGAAAGAAAACAAACGCGAATCGCTACTGTAAAATTCGAAGGCTCTGAAGGGACCAACAGCACACACACTGCCCACACACACATATTTATATGCTCTCACGTGTTGCTGCTGTCATGGCGCCCCGCACACACAACCGTCGCCGCGTGACCGGATCCAGCGGAAGGAGGAGGGAAGGAGGAGAGAGTGAGCCGCAGAGGCTCAACATGTCCCGGCGTGTTTTTACTTCCGCGGTGCTGCTCCTCCTCGTCGTGATGATGTGCTTCGGCACTGGTGAAGCTGCTACCGCCGGGGGCGGTAAGTCAAGTATTGCCATTAATCCATTTACAGGGGACGAAAAGGATAGATGCCACTTGGCAGGGACGTTGGGGATCCCAATACCGAAAGTGCTTCGCTTCCGCGTTCCCAAGCCTTGGTTGAGG